GCTGTTAAAAGAGGCAGGCTCACCAGTCAGTGTACCTTTTGGCCAATCCAGGTCCGAATACTACCACCAAGGAATTCTGCCGTTGGAATAGTTGCATTGTTCATCATCATTAGGACTTCTGTGAAGAGGCTGCTGAGGGCCATGTGGCGGGCCTGGCTGTCCATGTCTAAAGGCAGAGACAGACACACACTCACACCACTAGAACAGGGACAGGAAAGTGGTCCTAACAATAGTCCTTATCTGCTGGTATCTTAGCTGCTCTCCAGGGTCTTCACTCTCCCAGTGTCTGGTCCAGGGACCAGTAGAAAGGGTCTGATGATGACTGGATTTTATGAACAGGAAATGAGGAACTTTTTCAAGTTCCCTGAATAAAGCATAGAGTAACACCTTAATTCCCACAGCTCCTCTCAGCCTTTCCTTCCAGCCCATCTCCATTCCTTTGTGACACCTGCCAACCTGCAGAATCACTCTCACTACGAGGGACCCCCAGTGGTTACACTGGACTGGGACTCAGGTAAGCTATCTTTATTATCCTTCGTGTCCCTCACCGCTGTCTCTCCAGACTTACTTAGTCCTGCTGAGGTTGTCAATAGGAGCCCCCTCCTCCCACCTCACCTCCATTTCCTGGGGATTCTACCTCTTGGTGCAGACCCTGGTCCCTCCAGCTCTTTCCTGCTTCCCCTTAGCCTTTTCTTCTAGTCCATCACTATTCTTGGGTGATGCCCACCAATCCACACAAATACTCCCTACCGGGGACCCCCTGGCTAGAATCCAGAGTGGCCAATAGTAACCAAACAATGGAACACCCACCCAACAAAGAGCAGAACAGATAGCCACACCAATAAAGATGTCAAATGACTTAAGTTCGATGCCTAGATCCCCAAAACACAAACATGAACAGAAAAGACAAGAGTCATCCTCCAGAAGCTAAACTCTATAGCAACAGGTCCTAAGAAATGCAATTTAGCTGAAGCATAAGATTAAGAACTTCAAGATAGCTGTTATATAAATGGAGTCACCAAATAATAAGAAAGACAATGCTCCACTTATCTGCTAGTGACAAAACTCTCCATATAAATGTCTTGACAAGCCAGCAGGCGACACTGAACTTCTACTTAAGAGCCGACCTCCAACAAACACTGCTTCCCCCAGATCCCCTGTCACCTATCACTTAATGTCTTATCCAGCTTGAACCCCAGTCCAGGTTACTTCACATTCACCCCTGCCAGGGTCAACCTCTCCTCAAACTATAATATTGCTGCCTGCCCTCCAGGGCTGCTCCTGCTGTTCAGAGCCCTGGCTGTCTGGATCAGGAATCGTGGTCTTGACCATCTTTCTCAGCTCACAAAGCCCAACGCACACAGAAGGGATTCACTGCCTGCATGACTATGTGGCTTCCACTGGTCACTTACCAGGTGGGTTAAAGGCGATGACATCATCTAAGAGCTTAGCTATCTCCTGCTCCAGGACTGAGAAGGTGACTTTTCCACTTTGTTCCAGGGTACTGAGAAACTGAACCATCTGACGAGTGAAAGCTTGACACTTTGGAACTATGTCCTGATGAGAGAGAGACAGAGACACACACAGAAAGAGAGAGAGAGAGAGAGAGAGAGAGAGAGAGAGAGAGAGATCCATCAGTCAAATGAATTGAGCAAGGAATGTTAGCTGAATACTCCTGGGAGCACAGCAACAGCACTGACCACTTGGCAGAATGAAGAGGACACAGATTGGGAAGCCACAGAAGACCTCATCTAGATGGCCCAGGAGATGTGTCTGCAGCTATGTAAAACAGTGATGGCCTAGAGACTAGAATGCCCAGATGCCATAAAATTACACTAACAATGCCTTTAACCAAATGACTATGTGGCTTCCACTGGTCACTTACCAGGTGGGTAACTGACATCATTCTCTTAGATGATGTCATCTTTGATTTGCCTGTCAAAAACTTCCCCCAAAATGTTCACATTTAATTTAACTGAAACCTCCAGGTTATACTCATCACCCTCCCTGCCACTCTGTGGACTAAGACATTCTGATTTTAAAGCCAGCCCACTGCTATCTTCAACCCCTCTAGTCTTCAGTCAACCCAAGTCATTGCAAGTAAATGAGAAAAGTCAACTCAAAGGATCCAGGAGGCCAAGAGCACACAGTGGCACACACCCCAGCTTTCTCTGCAGAACAAGTCAGGAGATTCATGGCTAGCCTTACTAGCACATGTTTGACTTCTGGCCCTAAAAAACAAGCCAACTTTTGAACTACTCTCCCAACTTACACGATGCTTCTGGCCATCAGCAGGAACAGAAAGTCCCGCAGACACTTTTAAGAGCTTCACAATGTGTTCAGCGGAACTGTCTTTGGCCAGCATGACGGACGGTGGGTAATGACTGCTGAAATAACCCAGCACGCTCTGGTATGACACAAGGTCCACAAGATGCCATGAGAGTGAGCTTGTCTGTCCAAGAAGACTTAGTAAAGGTGAATCCTACAAATGGAAGACAGGTTGCCTTACATTTATTTCCCCAGAAATGTACATCTCTAGTTATTTCTGGGAAAACAGCTTATGGTAAGAAGAGAAAAGTTAAGGAACCAAGGACGTACACACTCAGGTTAGCATCAAGTGAAGTCACAGCAAAAGTACATTAAGATCTACAAGAATTCAGATGGACTTGGATGTACAAAGCAACATGGACTTCAAGAAGCACACTGAACTAAGAATTAACAAGGCAAATTATTCTAAGTCACAGAGTTCTCTGTATTATTTAGAACTTGACTAAGGGCTGTCCAGGAAAGTAAGCATGTAGCCGAAGCAGCTACATCTACTCCACCTACATCTACTCCACCTGCATCTACTCCACCTGCATCTACTACATCTACTACATCTACATCTACTGATGTGTGAGAGAAATATCCAAAAACATTATCAGGAGAAAACAATGTACTAAGAAGACAAAGCTGATTACAGACTCCCCAAACTTACTGTTTGATCGACTAGCTGAGCTTCCTTGGCCAGTAAAATCATCATGAACAGGAGACAGACAACCATACTCTGGGTTTCAGGAAGGGGACTGGGATTCCAGGCATCGGACAGCACACTAACCCAGTTGACTCTGCAGAGTACAGACCCTAGGAACAAGAAACAGCTCTTGGGGCTTCCACGTTCCACCTGGAGTGAACGAAAACAGTATATTATATCACATACATTATACATGTTTTTAAAAGATCACTTTCCCCCAGACTGTCAATATTCATTGATGATCTGGCCTTACAGGTCCAGTATAAATGTGCATTCTTGAGCTTGCCTTACTGGTACTTCATTGTCTACTCTAATAATTCTAAAGAGAAGAGTGTCCTTCCCTGACCACAAGCAGTTGGAAGATCCCTGCCACTGAGCCCCTGGAGCTGCAGGAGCGTTGGGACCTCGGGTGAGCTGGAACAGGAGGAAAACTCTACTAGTCAGTAGTTTTGAAAATTCCCTGTGTATCAGAACAACTGCTGTCACAACCAAGAGCTGCTGGCTTCCCTGGGATGTGTTGGGAGCAGGGATGTGCAAGTTCCCTTCTGATCAGTTCATAATGATATTGCTGAAAACACACTTGGAGAACTACCGCACTAAGATATATAATAGTAATATGAACATCCAGTGTAATGCTGGATATAAATGTCTCCATATGACTGGTCTTTAAAAGCTAATGCTTAAATTCTATTCAGAGGTTTGCTTGGGAGTGCACTATAAAGCACATAATCAATCTGAAAGTTTTATTTTATCTCCTAGTTCAATGTTTCTAATTTGTTTATCATAATAACTTCAGATAATATAAATTGTTCTTTTAAAGATTAATATTAAAAGCTCTACACTACTTATAAAATAATGATGAAACTGGAATTTGGTGGTGACTTGCATCTGCTCCCTCTTGGAACACAATTCTTCACGCTTTCATAATCTGTCCTTAGAGGACTTTCCATCAATCTTCAATTTAAAAGATTCTCAGCTTCTGGCCAGGTCAAGGCTATCTAATCCTTAGAATTCCCAGAGACAGACTCTCTATCGTTCCTTGACAGACTACTCCACAGCTTAATTAGTCTCATATGGCATCCCTCTCACTGAAAAGGCTGCCTTACAAGTCATTAAGCCAATATTCTCTTATAAATCCATAATAGTGATTAAGTATCTACTCAGGACCTGTGCCTCAACTACTAAACAGGATCAACTTCCTTGAAGCTCAACTAAAAGTAGGGTTGCCAAGAGCAGTACTGGGTAGGGCTTCACCAAAAAGACACCAGAAGGCCCTAGTACATTTTACTAATCATTGTAAATAATATTTGTGTCTTAGTAAGCATCATAAATAATTATAGATCTGTATCAATTAAAGCACTTAAATGGCATTAAGTTAGGAGAAAACACAAATGAACTGATGACTAATGAACTGAAACAATCATAAAAAGCCATGCCAAGATCACTGAAGTTCTGACAACAGAGAGCACATCAACCTTGGCTGCTGCGGAAGTCGCCCTGGGGCTCATGTAACCACGGTTCTGTTGCAAAGGTTCACACGCACATTTCTTGGCCCTTCCTTAAGATTACTCCAGGTCTTTCTATGATCATGATGTGTCACTGGTTGTTACAAAGATTTTTATCTCTTACAATCTAACTATTCAGTTGCATAACTGCTGAAATCAACTTGGGGTTGAGTACTAATTCACATTTTGCTTTTGCACAACATTCACAAGTAGTTCTAACAATATTATACGGTATTATAACAATGTTTATAAAAATAAACACTAGGCAGGACTGAGCAAGACTCAGTAAGCTAGGGAACCATACAACTTTATTCCTAAAACTAGAGGATGACCAACATATTAGAGTCAGTCTTTCTCTGGGTCTTAAAACTGCCTTAATGGATGTGTTCAAATCACCCATCAATGCATGACTCCCACAGGCTGCTGCCTTCCACAGTATGTACCAGAGAGTGACAGAGGATATACACACACTGGGAAGGAGACACCAACAAAGGCCGAACCTTGAAGAAGGCCTCCATGAGCCTCTGGTCAGGGTGCAGGTCCTTCCACTCAAGCTTCTGGTATGCGCTATGAAAAGTGTAGAGGATGCACTCTGGCATCTTGGGTGCTGTGCATGCCTCACAGTAATGCAGCAGGTGCAACCGCAGGGCTCCTTCGTCACCTGGCAATAGCTTGTCTAGAATTTTAAAAGAAAATACAGTTCAATTCACTTGGTTTCTTTAAAAAAGGATAGGAAAGAAAAAGAAATGCTAACATAAAACACAAACTTGAACTTAAAAGTCTTCTCAAGGGCATTAGCTCTTTTCTTCAAAACTTCTAAATGGCGTTTTAACCCAAATACATATCTACAGCCTGCTGCCCTCTCACATATCCAATCTCACTCCATTAGCACTTGTTTCTTCATTTAGCAGTTTGAAATAATTCTTCAAAAGAAACTATTCCAACATTTCTCAAAAAATACAAAGTAAAATAAAAATGATCAGCAAGTACACAAAAAAATGTTCAGCACTATTAAATACCACAGAAATGCAAAATAAACCAGTGAGGGCAGAAGACAGATAGCTAAATAGCTAAAAGGGCTTGCTGCCAAGCCTGACAACCAGAGGCTGATTCCTGGAACTCACATGAAGGAAGGAGAGAACCAATTTCCACAAGCTGTCCTCTAACCACCACATCATAAATCTCACACACACACACACACACACACAAACACACACACACACACAC